GTAGAGCTTTCCAGCGGGAGATCTGAGGCAGGAAGAAGTTGAGGAATTGCCTGCAGAGGACAGCCCCCAAGTGACACTCGCTGTTCTGGGCAACCCTCTTACTTTGCTTCAGGAGTGCTTGGGCATAGCACAGCTTAGACCATTGCTGTGACAACCACTGTGGTGTGGTTTTGTAGGCGACACCTTTCTCTTTGCTGGAAATGGGTTGTCCCAGGGGTATTATAAACTGTTGCTGTGATATTGGTTTATACATATGTAGCATAAAGGGTGTCAGAGATCTGTTATTCTCATATGCTAGGCATGTGTGTTTGCCTCAGCTGCTGGTTCGGTGACTGCATCACGGGCTGGGGTTCACAGTGGACTCCAATGAAATACAGCAAAGCAGAAAAACATCTGGCCAGACCCTCAACTTGTCTTCTGAATATGCTCTTCAGAGAAGGCAAATCAGGGGCTTTTATGGCTAGGGAACAAACATTGTAATGCTGGGCCTGTAAGAGGTACGTGGCTTGTTACATCACTGAAATAATGACAGGCTTCACTTGACACCCCTGTTATTGTGGTTGGGTTTCAGTTTTGTCCTTTTAGTTCACAGCTCTTACTGCAAGTTGGATTATTTCAGGCTTGCTTAGGGGATTCATTGCAGCTGAAAGATTTATTTTAATGAGAAAAGCTTTGCAACCAAATGAAGTCTCCTGGGAAACGCATACCCTCTGGTAATTCACATGGTTCTGTGTTACATTGCTCTTTTCTATCAGCAGGCAGCTCTGAAGGCTCTCCCTGCCCACACCAGACCTTCCTTAGAGAGGGGGAGTGAATATGGGTGTGTATTTATCCCTCTGAGTGTTACAGGTTGATCATAGTACTGGCCCAACAGGGGTTGTTTGAGCAATTCCCACTAGTAGGTAAATAGTGTCAGTGTACATGAACCCTGACCTGCAGTACTCCTGCCTTTCTCTTTTGCTGTTTCCATGCTTTGCATGGAAACATTGCTCTATTTCTGCTTATGTTTTTGGTTTTGCAGGATCCTTGCCACCTTTGCCACTGTACCTATGAAGTAGAGCTCTTTATTCCCAAGCTTTAGCATTCCCTACTACTCTTCAGTTCTAGGAATTATCCTTGCTTCTGCTCATGGGTAGGTATTTTCTCCTTTCCTTTGATCATGGCAGAGTGCTATGGGTCCTGTATTTAAAGATCTAAAAAACTTGTTGGTAATAAGCATGGAGTGTTGACAAGTCCTGTACATAAGGCCTTGTACTATAATTTGTGTCTCTGTGTCAACAGAATATTAATCCTGGCATTCCTTTTTAATATATTACATATATTTATAGCTGTGAAAATGGGGCAGAAGTGGCCACTTCCACTCCTGCTTCCCAGGGTTAATGGTTCTCTAAATTGTAATAAAAGGCTGGAGGGTACTTCTTAACATCAGACCTTCCTAATCTGATACTTGCTCAGTTTTTCTAGACTGGTGGTCTTCAATTTAGATTTATTGGGAGGTCTTTCAGTGCAGCCTGCAGCTATGAAAACCAAAATTGTTAAAATGGAAGAGAAGGGGAAGAAGAAACTTCCTGGCAGACATGGCTTGCCTATTATTGTTTCCCATGAGCCGGTTAATCTTGTGACCCCTGCCCTGTCTTTGGGCAGGGCTTTTTTCCACCTAAATCACTAGCATTTCATATCTAAAAACAGATAATAAATATCTATTTCATATTTTAAATAGGGGTGACTCTGGAAGCATGGGAGCCTTCATTCTCCCTGATAGCCTGATCTGTGATGAGGATGGCAGGTGCAGAGCTCCAGGAAGCCAAAGCACTTGTGTTGGTGCTGTAAAGTTCCTTTCCCTTGTGTGGATGAGGTTGCTTGCTTTGGACAGGATTTGTGATCAGGGTAGACAGCTGTATATGCCAGAGTGGGCAGCTAAGGGATGCTTCTTGTTTTGAGAGCCAATACCCAAAATACCTCTGGGGGCGAGGAAGGAGAAAGACTAGGGAACACTGGTCAGGTCAGCTTCCATGGAGAACAGTTAAAAATTCAGCTCCTGACCAGGTAAAGTGTTGACACAGCTGCCCTTCCAGGATCTCTTTGGACTAGCAAAGCTTTAGAAAGACAGGGCTGACTAGAGACTGTGCAGAATTAGAGTGAGGAAAAGGCAAGTATCTGTGAAATAGCCTCCTGTGTCCCATTCCTCCTCTCATTGTGTACCCCAGAGAAGCTGTTGCTCTTTCCTTCCAGTGGGTACTTTTCTTTAGCAGACTTCAGTGGGTTCAGCCTGAACTTGGCTTCTTTCAGTCAGGAAATAGCCAAATCATGACAGCAGCAACCACAGCAATCAGCATCCATCCCAGAAGTCATGCAAGAAACAGCCAGTAACCTCTTCAGTGCCAAAGCTAGGAGGCGGAAAGGTGGAAAAACAACCTGGAATTGCAGCCTGGAAGGTTCTGCCTGTGGTTGAGAGAAACCAAGGGAAGGAGAGGTTTCTGTTTTTGCTGTCTGCGCAATGGGAACAGCTTCTTGCCTCCCAGCCAAACATTTTCCAGACTCTGCTCTGATGACGCAGCTGAACAAAAGGCTGTCAGATTTGAGCCTTTTGTCTGGCTCCCTGGCCTGACAGAGACAGCAGGAAAGGCTCCTTCTTCCACTTGAGTTCTGGCTCAGCAACAGGCCAGCACCTCAGCTGCTGCAGATCAGCATTGTCTTTGTTGTGATGCCTGAGAATCTGGCAGCAGGTTTTCACTTTAGGGAGATGGTGTGGGGGGAGCTTTCGCTTGCAGGAAGGTGGTTATGGAATTGGGCTAATGCAAATATCTGAGGCTTGCAAAGACAACCTGATGCTTTTGCCTGAGGGTTACAGTTGGGCTGGACACGTGAGCATACAGGCTATCAACATAGCTCAGCTGATGAGTGTGGGAGCCTGGACTGTGAGTGACTGTATGTCTCTAATTACCCACAAACTTCCCCAAGTTTGCAGTGAAATTTTGTGTGGTTTTTATCGACAGATTATTTTAGAAATTTTCACTAGAAACAAACCAGCGGTTATCTGTATCTGTTTCGGACAGTGTGAAGACCTGCTGGAGTTAACTCAGCTTTTTTTTTCATGCTCAAATTATTTAATAATAGCTCCAGTTTCTTGGAATTTCTTTGGAAGTGTCTGGTTCTGGCTGCCGATGGAGACAGGATACTGAACTAGATGAAGGTCTGATTTGATTTAGTCTGGATGTTTCCAAAGTTTTCCTTGTTGCAGGGTATAATTATTTAGATGTTTATTTAGGTTTTGTTATAATGGCCTCTTCTTTCCTGAAACACAGGCCCCTCTGAGGCATAGGAAATCTATCTTCTGGTATACTAGATGGTACAGAAAAATGTCAGAAGGAAAAATTCAAGTGGGGCAATTAAGTTTATCTCCATGGATTGTCACGAGAAGGCTACTAGCTTGTATTTTTAAGCTCTGCTATGAGAATCCCATATATATTTAGCTCTGTTCTATAGATGGACATTTAAGAATTATAAATTTTAATTCCCTTTCACACATTTTCCACTTGATGACTAATTCATATTGTTAAATCCACTAAACACTGTTCACCATAAACAACAATAATCTAACAACAGGGTGCAAACAAACAGAAAGCTTTACCATATTTTCTTTTTTAACATAGATTAGCAGCAGGTACATTATTTCCTGACTTTATACTCAGGTAATTTTCCTGCAAGGCTTGTATTAAAAGACTTAATTCAATCACCTACATGGATTAGGTTGTTGGGCCTACCCAAGGCCAGATTCAGATGGAGCCGTGTTCCAAGTCTAAAGCAACATTTACACCTCCTGTACCCACAGCTGAAGGTGCTTTATGGAACAAGGTGTTGAATCCTCAGTCAGTGTCTTCTACCATCTCATCCCACTTGAAAATAAAATAAATGTTTTTCCTGGAAATTAATTGCTTTTTTCAGAACTCAGACTTGGATTAATGTGGAAGAAAAATGTCTTAATGGTTGTAGGGTCAGCAGAGGAGATTTAAACCAGTTTAGGCTCTGTTCTAAATGGTTCCCCCAGCAGTCTGATTAAACTGTTCCCACTACCTGTGAAGGTTTCTGCCCTCTTCAGGTTAGGATGCTAAAATTACAGCTGTTTAAAGGGTGGGATTAGGGCATGATTCATTCCATGCCTGGTTAGCCCTGCCATTTTAAGGAGTCTGTCCCCTCTGAACATCCTGCAGTATCTAAAGAAGTAATCCCGTAAACTGAAAAAAATTACTGTCTCTGTTCTGCAGATGCAAACCAAAGCAATCTGAACTTTAACTGGTCTGTGAGTGTGTACACAGAAAGGGTGTATGTAGATTTTTCTTTTGTGAAGCAGTGTTTGGAGTTTAAGAATTTAGTGCTTCTTTCTCTGCTGTTTGTCACTGTTTTCAGTAACTGCGTTAATACTCCCAACCATTATGGGACACAGTGAAGTGGGTTATATAAACACAGTTAAATACATCAGTAAAGGCTTTAGGAACTGGTTAATGTAATTTAATAGTCTTTCCCTTGAGCAAAGACTGCTGAAAGTTCAGTTGTTGCTTGATGTTGTTGCTGTGTCTTAGCACTGCTGTCAGGGCTGGTATTACCTTAGAGTATGCAAAGGAGAAGAGGAGCAGTGTAGCAGGTCTTCTGTGGTTGAGGTTACTGCAATGTGTTGGCTGTTTGTCTTGGTGCCAGCCAAGCAACTACGAGTTCAGTTCTTGTATGAAGGGCTGAAATCACAAGTTCTAAATCTGACCCAGCTTCTTATGTTCTGGCTTCTGTGATAGGGAAACCTGTTCCCCACATTGCAGTATTCTGGGGCTTTTACTTGCACTCTGGGCTCTTTTGCCTGCACTGCCCTAAGCTCCCACGTATTCAGTCGTTGTCATTATTACCCTTTTGCTAAGGTAGCTGCTATTAAGCCCTTGCTTACAAATCACAGGACAGAGTAAATATTGTTTTCTAGGTTGTATTTGGAGACTTGAGCTTCAAGTAAAACCATATGAGGAGACGAAGATCAAAAAAACACTGAAGGCAACAGAATAAATCCAGTCTCAAGCAGACAGCTGGATGAGTGTCAAACAAAGGAAGGAACAGCTGGATCAAGTAAAGCACAAGGAAAATTAGTTCCATCCCTAGGGGGAGGGAGAAAGATTGTTTCGCGAGACCAGAGCTGTGTGGGACCAACTTTACCCGATAAAACTTTTACATCAAAGTCAGGGGCAGATCAGAAGGTCCCAGAGGGAGGGGAAAGAAAAGAGTGGGTGTTCGTAGTAATTGTGCAGAAAGCGTTAGGGAAAGGAGGGAGGTGGAGTGTGAGTGCAGGGGGGAGAGCAGAGTGGGGAGGTGGGGGATTGGCAGACGTAGGTGGAGTAATTCTGCAGAATATGAGCTGCTGTCCACAGCTTTCTGGATGTAAATTGATGAGGTCATAGTGTTTTCCAGCTAAAAAAAAAAAAGTTAAAAAAAAAAGTCTTCAACTTGTTTTTCAAGAGAGACGAAAACACGGAGAAGCTGAAGAAATGGAGCAACTAGCAAAACTCCTTCTGTGGCAAATTTTGCTTCAGCAAAGTAAGCTCCTAGCTGATCGGCATGTTACTTGTTTTTATTTCAGCAGCAGAGGATGGGGCTGGAGGTTAGCTAGAAGATTTTGAGCTGTTACCTTTGTAAGATTTTGTTCGGATTCCTAAGTTAGCTGTGTTTTCGTCTGTGAGGGGAGGGAATCATGGATTTCTTATGCTTTTTGGAGAGGAAAAGGGAAAGAATGGAGAAATGTTTGAGGTTGTTTAAGTGATACTCTATTCAGCATGTTTGTGCAATCTATTTTTTCCTACCAGTTACCTTGACCAGCAAATTCATAAACAATAAGCTTGAATGTGAGAACAGTGAAGCTTGCATAGTTACATTTACATGTTTCAAGGTTATTTTATACTTTTGGAGATGCAGAAATAGCTGGTAAGTGTGTGTGTGTGTGAGAGTGTTCAGGATCGAGGAAAAAAATCAAGTGTGGTTTGTTGGGTTGTGGTTTGGTGTTTTTTTTTTTTTTTTTCTGTCAGCATAAAGACATAGGAATTCAGTTTTAAGTAAGGTGCAAGAAAAGGATGAGGACAAGTCTGATGAGTTTACAATAAGAGAACAGCTTGTACCTTTCCCTTGACCACAGAGCTTTCTGTAAGAGCTGAAAACAGATTCAGGGTCCTGAGAGCCTGGACCCAAGCTAAGCGGAGAAACCCCAGTAAGGCTTGGATGGCAGGAGAAGATTTGAGGATTAATTGCAAAACCCCAGCAAATCCACACGTAGCAGCACTTTGGGCTCTAAGGAAGGCACCTGTGAGCAAAGGACCAATTACAGTTCTAAGAACAGTATGGAGAGACTTCATTCAGGGTGCTGACAGTAGGAAGTGAGGAGCATGAGTGTTTTGGGGACTGGTGACCCCCTTGCTCTTCACAGCTCTGTTAATGAAAGGCTGTGGCTGGCCACCTGAGCCTCTCAAAATTCCTTAGTATGTAGATGGAGCAAGCTGAGAAGTTCTCAGTTTGGTCCCTAATTAATCTGGTTCCCATGTCACCATGTCATCTCCAGTTTTGCAATGCCTTAAGGCAAGGTTTAGGAATTGGCAACATATGGGATCAGTCATAGGGGAAGAAGGGTTAAAGTGGCTCAGAAAACTAGTGTGTGGGAGTGGGTTAATCCTGGAGAAGGAGGAGAGGCCATATATTGTATTTCAGAAGCAGCAACCAGTCCAGCTACTCCCCAGTGTGGTTTAGCATGTTGGTAGAGCTTGGGGGAGCACCCAGGGCAGGAATAGCAGGTTGGGTTGCTTTAGAGCAGTGGGGGAGCTTCGTAGAGACAACAGTGTCCCATCTATGGATGGATGATCTCTGACAGACTTTTTTCAGGTGTATTTTGGAGCCCTGATGCTTGAGTCCTGCTATGCCCACACAAATCAGGTTCTAACATGATGAGTGAAGATGGGAAGGGGAGAAGGGAGGAAATCTGTGCCGTTCTGTATTTGCTGAAATGATCCCTTCTGGAGAGGAACCCCACCCTCAAGTGTTAATGTCTTGCAGGGAGGAACAGCACTGTGTTTGGAATGGCTCTACAAACTATTCTGTGGGCCTAGAGCCAGCATGAAGTACACAAAGCAGAGAAGGGTTTCTAAAACTGAGCTAATATCTGAGCTGTCTGTGAGAAAGTTAGGGCAAATCTGAGGGATCCTGATTGTGCAGTGGCCAAGATGGCGATTACTTTTTAGTACAGACAGAAGGCTTTTTCCTTTCTGCCAAGGCAGCACATTCTTGCTTTTCACCCATCCAGGGGCATGTTCCTACCTGCAGTGAGGTGTTGGAATTGTTGGGACTAGAAGGGTAGTTAAGGGCTCTCCAGTCCTGACATCCTTTTTGAAAGCAGAAGACTGCTGTTGAGAGTTGGCCCAGGAAGTCTTTAAAAATAAACAAACATAGAGACTTAGATAAAAGCTCAGTTCAGAGCCTGGCTGGACCCTCAGTTGGCTTTGTAAGGGAAGCCTTGTTTTACTGAAAAGCTTAGTCTTGCAGTCCTAGGCCAGCAGGGGCAGTTGGTGAGTAGGAGATGTCTAGGTGGAACTGTATCGCTCACTATCTCCCTCCTTTGCCTCTTCAAGATGGGCCCAGATGTTATTCCTGATTACTGGTCAGTGGCTTTTAAAATAATGTCTACCAGAAGAAAGCTGAGGTCATTTGTGTAGCAGTCACCGTGATGTTACTGCATCCTAAACCCTTATGGCCTCTTTGAGGCTGGGTCAGCTCCCTAAAGAGTCAGGACGGAGCCACTGCCATTCTCCAGAAGGATTTGGAAACAGCTTGGTAGCACAGGCTGCTGTTTTTACAGTAATTGTGTAATGGCTCTACAGAGACCATTAAATCTGCTGCACAGACAATGGGATTTATGGGAGAAATAAGGAATCTGACATATACGGATTTTGTGATGAACATGTCCTTTCTCTAGGACTAGACCACCCCTCTGTGTCCCTAACATAAAGGTGATGTCGCTTCCTTTTTCAAAAGAAAAAAGAAGCTGAGACTGACCAAGAGTTATCAGGGAAGGTCTGCAAAGGAATAATGAGCTGAGCTTACTTAGGGAAGCAGAGTGTCAACCTCACAGGCTGTTGTTTCAACCCACACACCTGGTGGGTTATGACACTCGTTTCTCCAGTGACTTTATAGTTTTTCTTTCCTGCTCACCACTACAACCTGGACTTCAGTGATGCTTACTTCCTGGTAAGACACTACTCCAGGCAGCTTATCCTTGCTCTGCTGACATCAATGGCAAGGCTCATCCTGAGTTCAGCAGAAGCACTGCAGGTAGAGCTGGTGTTGTCATGTCCTGTGGAGCGTATATGCCACTTGGTACTCAGGCTACCACTTACGATGTTTGCAGTTTCCTTTTCTGCTCTGGTAGTCTTTCATCCTCCAGTATGAGACAGGAACTTCGTGGGTTTATTAGTTCATGCATCTACCTGTGACACAGATCCTCCACCAGCAGCTACCTCCAGGAGGAGAGAAATGGTGTTACTGTTCAGGGAAGACTCAAAGGACAGTTTTCTGTTTGACCTGCTCCAAAGACACTGCCTAGAGAGCTCTGAGTATGTAAGATGTCTTTCAGAGCCTGAAGTTTTTACTTCTAGTTTGCCTGCAGTTTTTCTGGCTTAATTCTTTACTTGAAAAGTGGATGGGATTCAAGAAGTAAGAGCTGGCTCTGCCTTTTACAAGGGATTAGGAAATGCTTTTGCAGACTGCTTTCCTATTCCTGTGTTGTGGGACCAGCAGAATACCTCTGGGGTCCTGCTGAGAGGCATGCTGAGTCTGCAGAGAACGTTCCAGGGGACAGCGCATAGATGTCTTTTTGTTGTTTTTTTGTGGGTACATCACACAGAGAGGACAAAGTGATTATCCATTACATGGAATTTGAAATCTTAAAAGGAAAGCTACAGTGAGTTCTGTGTTGACAACTGTTAAGGTATTTGGTGGTTTTGAAGCTCCAGATCCTGAAGTCCTGTGATTACAAAAGTGAGAGCTTTCACTAGCAGGTTGGAAAGTGTGACTCGCCAAAATAACTGCCTCCAGTTTGCCCCAATCCTGTAGTTTGTAAGCTGTCAATTTTGCTGGGTTATGGATATATCTGCCTTTGTTCAGTAGCTGCCATGTTATACAAACAGTAACTTTAAAGAGCATGGCTGGGGGACATCTCTTGTTTGCTCTGCTTGTCTTGCATAGCAGAGCTAGGTCTCCTAGAGGGAGAAGACTGAAAAGAGAAAAAGGCTTATTCCTTCGTTAACTACTGCTCTGTGTTCAGGTTATTGAAGGTCAGTTGTTTTAAATTCCATTTTCTCCAGGCATACAAGAGATCAGAGACATTCCAGGCTCCTTAGATTTCTAAGTGATCTCATTTACAGCCATGTCAAATAAGTTTGAGTCTTATCCATGATCTGATGTATGTGTGCAGACTTCCAGTATTGCTGGTATCTTACCTTAGGGCAGGCTTCAGACCCAAAGCTTCTGTCCAGAATCTGTGTGTGTGCATGTGAGTGTGCACAGACATGCAGTGAAAAACCCTTTCTCTTCCACTTCTTGTCTCTGTGCAGAACTCCAACACAGTACTTGACTGCCTTCATCTTGGATGGGTTTTGTTCTCGTGCATAATGTCACTGTAATCCTGGGCTGTTCAGCTTTGTGTGGCAACACTCAGCCAGTCAAGCAGAAGCTTTAAGAGTGAAGGAAAAAATAATCTGTCAAAACCCATAAGACATCATATTTTTTAATCTAAAATCTGTGACATTGCAGACAGCTTCACCGCTTCTGTGTTTTACAGAGTGTTTGGATGTGTGCTGGAGCAATGCGTGTAGCTGGCTGCTGGGGCTGCAGCAGCTTTGCCTGGCAAAAGGCCCCTGTGGGTGGGATGGAAAGTTAGGACCTGGGTGGTCCCTACCATGCTCATAGGGCCAGCTAAAAGACACAAAAACAGGGGTTAGTGCTATTGTCTGTCAGTTTAGGGCTGCAACAGGCAGCTGAGCAGACCATATTGGAAGGCTTAGGTGGATACTGTTGTCAGTTATTAGATTTATGATGCTGCATTTGGGCTCAGTGTTTTTTACATTAACTTGCAAGAGGAAAAGATAAAAGTACATGCATTCCTCTTGCTGAGCCAGGAGAGGATGTTTCTGCAGCACCAAATCAATTTGCTGTTAATGAGCAGTAATGCAAGACTCTGAAAGCACTGGCTGTGCAGCGGGCCAGCTCACAGGCACCACTCCCTAGCCTGCGAGCCGCTGCTCCTGTCGTGCCACTGTTGTTCCCTGACCACAGGGCTAACGCCCCCAGTTCGGACACGCGGGCATTGCTTTGTCACACTGATACAAGTGGATGCTTCTGTGCTGAGCGCTGGTTGTCCTGTTGCAAGTGGGACTGATTTCTCTTAGAGAAGGTTGGTTTGGTGCTGTAGAAGAGCTTTGTATCATTCCTTTGCTGTCCTAAGATAAATCTAAGTCCTGGCTTCTAGAGACAGAGCCTGGCATTAACATATTTAACCATCAGGCATTTTGCAGCCTGTTAGGATGGAAAATGATGGAATTACAGTGTCTTGTGTATGATGTCTCTTTCTTCTATCCAGAGCAGTACAGACTGTCCAAGATTTTTTTTTTTCTTTGTAATGCTGAGGTTATAAGTGTAGAAGAAATAACTTACATTCGGAGTGTCTTTGAGCTGGCAGTTCAACAGCCAGTGCTGCTCATTTTTGTTCTTCGTGTCACTGCCCAGTGTTTTTTGATAGGAAAAGGAAAGGAAGCAGAGTTTATTCTCAGCCCGTGCACTGGGGGTGTAGTTAAAATAGCCCCGGTCTGGTGTTAATTTATTCTCTTTTGAAATGCATAAATTCCAGTGCTGAAAAAAAATATAGCCTTTGTTTGGAGGGCATTGTGCCTATGACATTAGCAGGACAAAGCATCTAATGATCTTGCTGGAACCCACTTGGGCTTGACTGGTTAGAGAAATGAATTATGTCATTGTGTTGGGAATCTGAATCGTGCTCTCAAACCATGATGCCAGGAGACCTCCTTAGACCCCTCCTACACAAAAAACAGGAGGGGTTGGACCAGAGAAATGCAGAAATAAAGTCATTAGTTCATTTCTTGCAAAGTTCTTCCTGCATAGATCTGAGTCACATGTGTCAGAGAGAGTTGCAGCTGCATCTAGAGGATTACAGTGTTAACTGTGCAGACCAGGAATGTGAGCAGGAGGGAGTGTGGGGGGTGCACGGTCCCAAAGCCAGGATGTGTTTGACAACAGCATGTGTCACGAGTGTGAAGCGGTGCAGCCAAGTCATATCACTCCGCATTTGACAGGTAGACCAGCATACTTCAGAGTTCCAGAATTCCCTCAATGCATTCATCCCACCATCAATTTTATAGGAGTTTGATTTGGAGTCTTGGAAATGAAAGTTACCTTTTGGCCCTCAATCTAGTGCATCAGCAGTGTGGATCCACTTCCCTCTACTCGGGCAGCTCTAACCTCCAGCAGATGAGCTGGGGTCAGCTCTGCCTCCAAGTCTATTCAGGCCTTTGCCCTAGCAGAGAAAGCTGACAGAGATGTGGGTGTCTTCTGGGGAAGAGATGGAAATGAAATGGTCACATTCATTTCACAATGGTCAAACAGCATAAAAATGAACATGGTTTTAACTGGTCACATCTGGGTAGTAGCCCTCTACTCCGCTCTGGTGAGACCTCACCTGTACTGTGTCCAGCTCTGGAGTCCTCGGCATAGGAAAGACAGGGACCTGTTGGAGTGGGGCCAGAGGAGGCCACAAAATTTCTCAGAGGGATGGAACACCTCTCCTGAGAGGACAGGCTGAGAAAGTTGGGGTTGTTCAGCCAGGAGAAGAGAAGGCTCTGGGGACACCTTCTTGTGGCCTTTCAATACTTATAAGAAAGATGGGGACAGACTTTTTAGTAGGGCTTGCTTTGATAGGATAAGGGGTAATGGTTTTAAACTAAAAGGAGATAGATTCAGACTAGGTAGAACGAAGAAATTTTTTACACTGAGGGTGGTAAAACATCAGCACAGGTTGCCCAGAGAGTCGATAGATGCCCCATCCCTGGAAACACTGAAGGCCAGGTTGGACGGGGCTCTGAGCACCCCGATCTAGTTGAAGATGTCCCTGCTCATTGCAGGGGCGGTGGACTAGATGATCTTTAAAGGTCTCTTCCAACCCAAACTATTCTATGATTCTGTGAACTGTTCTTACCCTGTTGTTTCTGCTGGTGCCTTGTTATTTATGCAGGACCAATATCAGATCCTAAGATAATACTGGTGCCTCCCTTCCCCCCTGACTGCTCCTGCCTCCTTGGGTTCTTGTTTTTGTCTTACACAACATTTGTTAAATAGTTTCCTCTTGGGCAGAAGAGGCCTTTCATACAGTTCTGGTGGGTGATGGATTGACAGGTACCTTTGATGTAACATTTGAATAGCATGGTGGGGAAAACTCTGTGGCTATAGATGGTATGAAATAAAGACATGGGCTGTATGAAATTCAGTTGCAGGCTAAGCATATCCCACGTTGCTTTTAAGCTTAAGTTTGCTGGGTCAGGCACTGTCTTTTGCTGTAAGTGTACAGTGTCTGCTGCAGCACGGACCAACCAAGGTCTGAGCCTCTGGGCTTAACCACAATACACATATTTAATAAGTATATTAACAGGGAGGGGAGGAATTAATGGAATAATGACAGAGGAGGTAGCTGAGCATATTTGTAGTTTTTGCTTCCTTTTGTTGTCAGTAACAGTTGTTTTTTTTTTTCTCATTTGACAGGTTCTGTTTATTTATATTCAGGTGAGTGACATCTCTGTAATCTGCCTGTTTTTGTGATCATGAGAAGAAACGAGATGTACCCTATTTTCTGTGACGTGCAATGGGGGTTTCATTTCTAACTTCCATGGGCGTGAACCATACATCCCATGAACTAGTGTCTCTACATTTTGATTAAACTGGGGGTTAAGCTTAGGAGGGGTATGTAGGACAGATCAAATCTACAATCCTGATAACAGACATCATAGACATTGCTTTCACTGAATGAAATCACTGTTTTGAAGTGGCTTTCTGTTGTATTTTTCCATTAGAGAGCTTTGTGTTGATCTCGAAGGTTACTTTCTTTTGTGTGGAAGGTGTGCAGAGATTCTAGGACAGGTGTGAGTTCTACTCTAGTGTCGTCTTCCCATGCCATTAATCTGGTAACTCTATTTTTTGTTCTTTTTCTCCTGGCTCTCAGTCCCAGCTGATGCCTCAAACCCAGACAGCGTTGTAGTGTCAGTGTTAAATATCAGTGCTACATTGGGGTCACAGGCTGTTCTGCCCTGCAAGAGTTACCGCATGGTGTGGACCCAGGACCGTCTGAATGACCGCCAGCGTGTGGTCCACTGGGATGTGTACAGCAACTACTACGGAGATAACAAGATGGAGAGGCTATGTGACATGTACTCAGCTGGAGATCAACGTGTGTACAGCTTCTACAACCAAGGGAGGATATTCATGCCCCAGAATGCATTTACAGATGGCAACTTCTCCTTGGTGATCAAAGGTACTAATCAGCACCTTTTCTTCCTATGCTGTCTGCAGAATGGAGGATTCATGATTAAACTAACTTTGTGTTTTTCAGTGAAAATGACTATTTTGCAAAGCATTTCCCATAAATAAATAAATATCGGTCTAATTAGGTTCTCTGAAGCACTGGAAAAGTGTTTTATTTCCCTTTGTAAGAGTCCCATTTGAAAAGAGAATTGGTAACAGCTCATTGCCTGAAAGCCACTTGGGCTTCTTGTGGGCCTCTGACTGTATTTCAGTTCCTGAACTATAAGCCCAAGATTGTCATTCTTCCTATGCCTGCTCTTAGCTAAACGTAAATTAGCTTTCTCTTTCCATCTGTTAATACAAATACATCCCACACAAGAGCAAATAAACGGAACAATTTATTATATTAGGTGAAATGATTCTTCTCTGTTTATCTCACCCTGGTGATAAGGGTGAGTTGGAAATAAGCAATATAGAGGTCCTTTTGCAACCATACAAGCATCTGGGAAACAGTGTAAATGACAAAAGTAATTACTGCCTCAGTATAAAACATTCAACTCTTCCCCTCTCTTCCCTGTTGTATTAGATGTTGCAGAGAGTGATGAAGGCACATATTCTTGTAATCTTCACCATCACTACTGCCACTTATACGAAACTGTGAAAATCCAACTAGCTATCACCAAGAAAGGTAGGTGTGGCAGACAGCTTGGTGTTCCTTTCTGCAAGGGACCTGGGCTGGCAACTGGAGTCCAGTGACCTCCAGGACTTTGTTGAATTCACAGTGGGGCTTGTGTGCTGCTTCACGGTAGGCCTTACATGCTGTTTTGCTAGTGTCAGAGAAGAGTAGTGTGGATACAGGGCTTTGTCCATGCCTTCTCAGTTGCAGGGTCAGGGCACAGATGCCACAAAAGGCTTGGAAAGCATCGGGAGACAGGGATGTTCACTATTCTGTTTGGTATCAGATTAGATTCCCTGTGTTTCATAAATTTTATTCAATGTGTGTATGTCTGAACCTCTCTCCTTTCTTGTCATGTGCCAAACAATGCATGGAGCCTGTAAAGTTCAATGTTTAATCTAGGCAGCCTGATTAGCTAACTGTCCTGTTACTGCTCCAGCAGAACATCCCTAGTAACAATCCTTCACGTAGGTTAACCACAAAGATGTGCCTTGTACATTGGTCAGTGAGCTTACCATGAGAGGTCTGTAGTTAAAAAGCCTCCTCAAGTTACCACACCTTAACTGCAGCTCTAAAAGCAAACTTCTAAGGGCTGTTGGTAACTGCAGTGTGTGCCACACATGCATCACTGCCATGTCAACCTTTGTATAATGCTCAAGTCAAACTACTGGGGCTGACTGTGCTGGGAAGTTGCTGAAGTGCTGATGGGATAGTAGAGAACTATTCTGCTGCTGTTCTCACAGCTTCTATGCAACAAAAACACCCAGGCAGGCCTGTAAGCCCCAGTCTGCTCATCTGTGTTTTGGTTCTTCTGTTATTTCTTTTCAAGAACGAAATACAAAATAATGCTTCTTGAACTGCTTCAGTAATTAGTGCATTTATGGATAGAAAAGCATTTCCTGCTTGGAGAACTGGGATACAGCATATTGGAGATGAAATCTGTTATTCTCGTTCCATTCTTAGTCTGTAGAGAGAATATACTTCCTGCTTTCTGAAACAAGAGATTAACTCAGTTATAAGAAGAAGGAAGTGGTCTTGCTTAATGCACTGACTTAGAATGTAGAAGATAAAGGCGCATTTCTTTACTAACTGCTGAAGTAAGTGTGAACGAGGTGCACATACTACCCCTGTGGCACTTCAAGATCTTTGGAGGGGGTGCATTATAGGATTGCAGGGTCTGAAAGCAATCTTAGGTGTGCCTAGCTTTCCTTAAGAATAGGACAAGTGTGTAAAGATGCACGTACCAAGGTTACACAACCTGTGTTGTCTCCACAGCTGAGGATGCAAACCAGTACTGGGATGGGGAAAAACCTGTGATTGTTGCCCTAGAAGGCAGCACGGTGATGCTCCCCTGTGTGAACCATAACCACATCTGGACCGAACGGCACAGTGAAGAGGAACAACAAGTGGTCCACTGGGACAGGCAGCCCCCCGGGGTTCCCCACGACCGGGCTGACCGCCTCATTGACCTGTACGCCTCTGGTGAGCGCCGTTCTTACGGACCTCTCTTCATCCGTCAGAAGATGAACATCACTGACACAGCCTTCGCCCTGGGTGACTTTTCCCTGCGGATTTCAGAGCTGGAAAGTGCAGATGAAGGCACTTACTCCTGCCACCTACACCATCACTACTGTGGCCTGCATGAGCGCAGGATCTACCAAGTCTTTGTGACGGAACCAGTGAGAGAGAAGAAGGTGGTGAACCTCACAACTCACAACATTGCCCCAGCCATAGGTAAGTGGCCTCTGGAAGTAGCTCTCCTGATTGAGCAAGAGACAAGTATCTACAGTTGCACCTTTGAGCTCTAAAGAGCTCAGTAAGCCACAGGACAGGAATATAACACATTACTTACTCCTCATCATCACCATCTCAGGAGGCCTTTGCTCCAAATGCCAGAATGTCCTTGCCTTTCCTGTCCCTCCACATCTTGATGCCAGCAGGAGGGAACATGGTCAAGGCAAACCTGCACCCCGCAGAAGTACGGTAGACACCACCGAAGTGAAGGTGTCCCCTGGAGCAACACTGAGGTTTCCTTTATGAAGGTTTCTCATGTTTGAGCCAGGGGTTATTCCTGCCTTTAGGGTTAGAAGAATAGAGGAGGTCTTGCCTCCCTCCTACAAGTATATGGCTCTGGTGTATGGGCTTGGCTGTTTCTGAGCTATTTCCATTTCAGTGGTATACCCGGAACTGCCGCTTTAGCAATACTAGTGAGGATCTAGTAGAGCTGCTTTAACCTTGTGCTGACCAAAAGTAGAGTGTCCCACCCATCAGGGTTAATCACCCTGCTTGCAGTTCTGTAGTAATATCATCTCCAGCTTCTGTTTTCTTTGCTCCGGGGCAATTTTGCAGCCTGTTCTGCTCTGCAATGCTGACATGCCCTGAGGCAAACAAGCTGTTTTTCTAACAGGCTCACTTTCTTGATTGCTTTTATGGAACAGGAGAAAGTGTGGGGCTTGGGTTGATTCTGCTCTGCCTTTGCTGTTACATGTCACTATTCTCACTGGTGTAGATCATAAGTCTTTCTCTCCCATTTGCAAAGGGGTTTGGACTGTGCAAGATGCCAGACTGTGCAGAATCAAGCACCAGGAATTTTCCTCCACCCTTCAGCTTTTTTCTTTTTTTTTTTTTTCTTAAAGCAATTTTCATATTTTCCGCTGTAGTGAGCAGTGATCTGACAGCCTGTCCAAACTCAAAACCATCATACTTAGTTCAGGCAAAGACTTAAAATAAAAATCCCAAGTTTAATATTTTTTTAAGTCTTTTGGGCATAGTTCATTATTAACATTTTAAAATATTCATTGTGGTTTAATATTTATTGGCTGCTTAATACAGAATTTTGACAGGCTTCATACATTTTTAAATAGGTCTATTCTTCTCTACCAATTGGCTTTTTCAAGTCACAGAAACCTAAACCTCCCCCCTGGGACTGAGGTTGGTGTCCAGAAAACCCCGGCAGTACTAAGGAGAGGTGGCTGTTGGGGCTGAGGTGACATGGGGGCCAGGACATATAAATATCAGTCTCCCTGCCTGCATCCCTCCTGCTGCCCTTGAGCCCCATCCAGATCACATTGTGCAGATGGAAACTGGATCTTGTTTTCAGAGTTGCCCACCCAGGAGTTTATTCTTCTCTTTCCTGGATGTTGTCCTGCATGTTGCTGGATAGTTACCTACCTGCTCAGAAGTTACAGAGAACCTACAAGTAATTTAACCTGCCAGGGCTGTCTTAGTTTGGCAGTAGTGCCCTCAGTGCAGGAGGAACTTGCCTTCCTGAGAAAAGTTATTTCCATTGTCAAAAAAAAAAGGCCTTAGAAGATCTTTGTCCCCTATGGGCAGTGAATGCTCAGCTGGTCTGAGAGAACCACACAGAAAAATGTGCTGAGTCGATGAGAATGTGAAAGAAGCTGAGACATCCGGAGTGCCTTTTTCAAACCCACTGCTGATGAGGAGCCTGCTGGGACATGCCCTATTTGTGTACAGCAGGAAAGGCTGAGATACTGCCCCATTCCGTGAAAAACTGTGTAGAGCTCTTCTGGGGATATAACATAAAGCCAAAATGAAGCATCAAGAGATAACAAAAGCAAAACAATGAGCTTTTTCAGCAGGCAGCTATAGTTTCTGGCATAGCTCCAAGGCCCGGAGCCATTTCCAGACAGGAAACTTCATCCTGTTTTGAATATAAGCATAAGCTCAATTTTGCTCTCAGTCCCAGCAGCCGTAAATGTGGTGTATATGTGTACTAATCCAGTGCATTTTCACTCTGCATTTGCTTTGAAGTAAGTGATTGGAGAATGTCATCTGTTGTGTCTTGTGCTTATTGCTAAACTGTGCTCAATCCTTTGCCAGCCTTGAAAAGAAAATGGGCCACATAGCCAGCATTTGTGAGCTCACATGGTGGAGAGCTCTCCATTTTTCCCAGGAGAAGAATCTGACCCTTGACACTTTGGTAAACTAATGTAAAGGCACCTCTGTTGTAACTTTTTTTCCCCCCTCACCATTAGCACTTCTTTTCCAGTAGTTAAACCAGATCACGTGAGTGAATTGGAGGCAGATGGGTATGTCCTGTTGAGATGCACTGCAAGATCAGATCTTGGTTATGGAATAAATCTTCATCACCTCAGCTTAAATTCCAGTATAACACTAGGATGAGGAGGAGAGTCTGCATTACCTTGGTGATACTATTCTAGGCACTGACATTCATCTCCTGGGTGTGACCGAGTCAGCTGTTACTCTGAGCCTCAGTTTCCCCAATAATAAAATGGGAGATATTCTACCACCTTCCTGGTGATGCACTTTGAAGTCCACCAGTGATGATTTGTCAAAACACTAGTATGACAACTATTTTTTAGTATTACTTGATTAAGTCAAGGGGGCCCAAAGTTACTGAATCTCTGTTTCCACTGTTTGTGTTACAGTGGCCTCTCCAATGTTGACTGATGTTTAACTCAGCTCCTACCCTATCTAGCAGTATTGTGGGAAAGCAAAAATCCAGGAATAGAATGCATTTCTGTTTGCTGACTTCTGGCTCAACAGCAAATTATGGCTACTGTCTCATTATGGCAGCTGCTGGAGAAGCCTTTCATGATCCAGAGATTTGTTAGAGTAGAACTGTCATGGATACTGTTTGCAGCTTTGCAAGTGGGTTTTCTGGTTTGGTATTTTTTAACTCAGCAGTGGTGAAAAACACATGCTAGTTTTCAGCACTAGAGCCAGCAAGCACACGGCATCTAGCAATGCCAGTAAAAAGTGGAGTGTTGCTGGAGTGGAGGGCTGGGCTGCACCAACAGAGTGCATGGTAAAACCTCTCAATTTTCTAGGACTGCTCTTAGCATTAGCAGACGATTGTCTCTGGTTTCAAAGTGTTTATTTCAATCCACTGTCGTTTTACTTCATTTTATTGTTGCTGAGTCAGTGCTTTTAAATACTGGAAACAAGCTACCTGACAAACTGGAACCAGTCACTATGCCAGCAGTTCCGAAAATGTCAACATTTCTCACATTAGAACACATCTGTGAAATGGTACTGTGGCTTTTGGGATATTTTCCCCCATCTTTCCCCTTATTCCCTCTGACTGATTTACAGGGTTAAACACCCAAGAGAATAGTAGGCCAGAACCCCATACTGGTTCTTGCCTGGTGCTCTGTGAATGTTCCCTGTGAGGGGGAGAAGGTGTCACCTTCAGCTCTGTTTTGAAGAGAAAAGCCTCCCCCAGCACAGTGTGTCTTATGGGTTTTGCTGTCTGTGCCTTGGCTGGATTTGTCCACTTCTCTGACTATTGCAAGCAGTGAATTCGCTTCCTCTTCGTATGTGTAAAACATTGACCTATTTATTTGAGAGCTACAAAAATGTTCCACGTCAAAGTTTTGAGTTACCCTTCTCTGTGCTACGGAACTGAAATGCTGCTGCACCCACAAATGGAATGGAATCTTGGCTTTTCTTTGTGGGTTTTTATTTTATTTATTTTATTGATTTTTATTTTATTTAAAAGGAAACTCATTCTTTGGCATTGAAAATTCCTTCCACTCTGTAAATTATAACCCTTGGCAGGGATGGACTGCTTCATATTTTAGCTGTCTGGAGCTGAAGCAACGTGGTGTGTGTGTTGTAAGGGACCCAGAGGAGGGTTGTGTTACCCTACAGAAAGACTTGGGGCTGCCTACTGTGGCGGCTTTGTGGACTTCCCCTCTGCAATAAACAGGAACACACTGATAGCCCCACAGCTGGAAGGGAATGGGCAGCAGTCACTGTTAATACTTCATGCTCCAGGGAAGTATAATGGTCTTGTGAAGAGCACAAGCATCTTCCATCTGACAAAGGTGCAGTATGTTGTAAATTAGGCAGCTGTTTTCTGTTTACTTCATGTAGTTCAGAAGAGTTTCTCACTGAACGTGCTTTTTGGGTCCCCATACGGGCCCATGTGTGAACGTGCTTTGCTTTGGATGCCAATTACAATTATCAGTCTGTTTTCCTTCTCCTCTGTCATCAGATCCAAATGTTGTCAGGGGCCACAATGTAATAAATGTCATCATCCCTGAGAGCCGGGTGCACTTCTTCCAGCAGCTGGGCTACATCCTGGCAACTCTGCTGCTCTTCATTGTCCTCCTCATCATTGTGGTCCTCGTCACCCGCAAGCACCGGCAGAGAGGTAAGTGCTAGAAAAGACCAGCCCTGTAGTGCTTATAAGGATATCTTATGACAGCAGAGCTGATTCTGCAAATAATTACTGCAAAGCACGATGCTGAAGGCAGTCATCCTCTTCTGGAAAACCAGCAACCTACACAGTGGGGAGTCTTTGCAGGTGCTGATGCCAAGAGAGATTCATTAGTGTCGTATAAAAATTTCCAGGCCTTGATTTGCTGAGTTGCTCGGTTGTAAGGGAGAAGAAAATTAGAACTGCTAGATAGCTGTTCTTTACAAGTGGAATTTATTTAAAGCAGAAAGCTCACATGCATCCCTTAGGAACCAAGATGTCTAAGTCCTTGCTGGATTCCCTGTGCTGGGTGACTCTCTGTGTGTAATTAGATAAATGGACACTGAGATCTTTTGGTGACTTCCACACAAATAGTTTTGGATGACACACAAAAAAGCAAATACCAGGGAATGTCTGTCTTCTGGTATGTTCCTTGCAGTATCACATTCATCCTTGTTTATATGTCAGGAGGTTAGCACCAGTACAAAATGGGGTTTGTGTAACTCCATTGACTAAAGTGGAGTTACTCTGCAATCAGAGAGGGGACAGAGTCCTGGCCCTTGAATAGAAAAGAAGAGCCTGAAATCATCACTCCTTGCAGGTTGGGATGAGACAGGAGTGTTGTTAGATACCTGGCATGTGAGAAGCTGTTGAAAACCAGCATCTGGAGGATGTGGTGGATGCAGGCCTAGGCAATGAGCTGGGAATGGGCAAGTCCAGCACCAGCACACAAGATGACAGGCTTGCTTAATATTTTTGTAATAAATGGGAGCTGGAAATTAATGAAATACGGCGATGCCTGTATTTTCTCATGGCTGGCCATCCACAGACTTGGGAAAACGACTGGGAAGCTGGTGAGTAAAGGAAAGGGAAGCTCCTTGTGTCAGTGGAACACCCATGAATTCTCATGTATTGGAGGGACTGTGAAAGGGACCATTGTAAGCATTGCAAATGAGGAGCACTGCAAATAAGCACTAGGTGTTAGCACTGTTATCTGGGAGGGCTTGGCTGGACTGGGTATGACTGCTCATTCTGTTTCTTCTCCCTGTTTAGGTTATGAATACAATGTGAAGAAATATGGAGAGTAAGTATAATTTTAGGGTCTATTATCTAGGATTAGAATGCATACAAATAAACTTACGGGCCCCAACCCTCAGCTCTCATTGAGAGCCTAAAACAGCTGAGGATCTGGTTAATAAGAGTCTAGCTATGTGAAGCATAGGCTGTTTGACAGACTGAATTCATTGCTCTCCACCAATTCTTTTGCAGCTTTACGCTCTAGTCATTATTAGTTCAGTGTGCCCAAGAGTATACACTTGCATAACGATTGCATTTCAGGGAGCAACTTCCATGCTGTCAAAGTATGGAAGGAGAGATTGGTTTGTAGGGCTGATTTGGCACTTGCATTTCCTCTTGTTATACTTTGGGATCTGATTCACAGAACATGTTTCTTTGAGATGTCATTAGGAGTTAGCGGTAATACACAGATCTACTGTAAACCCTGCTGTGAGATGAGGCCAAGATTGTGTAGCTGGGTTTCTTTATGTTTTATTATATATTATTAAAGTGAAAGAGACGGGGAAGTTCCGGTACAGATTGACTTCGCATTCTTCTAAGCTCTGGACAAACCTGTGGGGAAAAAAGAACCAACTAGCCAGAGATCTCAAGGTCTTAATAGAAAAGACAGTAAAAGGAAAAGAGAGGAGAACTGCATTCACTAGTAAGCAGTATGACCTTCTGAATTCTGCTTAATAGTTCAGGGGCAAAGACAGGAAAAGCACCAATGTACCATGGCTGCCAATGCTGTTATCTATCCGTCATGCTTTCTCCAGGGAAGCCTTGTAGAAGCTGGATAGGATTCTGTAAGGATTGCTGTGAAAATCACCAGTACTTAGTAGGGAATTAAATCTTCCATGGATTTTTTTCAACTTTTCTCCAGGTATATATCAAATAAACACTGTAAATTAAATGCTCTGAAGTAACATTAGAAAAGCTATTGTGAAAAAGTATGAAGGGAACCAGTTGTTAATGTGTGTGACAATACCATTTTTCCCTGTTATTCCTTTTTCAGGAAGGATGTAAATCTTAAAGAATTTACAGTTGACACAACAGATCTGACTCAATATAAAAGTGAAGACATCAGGCTGGGTATGCATCAACTAGCAACCATTCTCCAAACCAGGTCAAAACTTGTTATAACTGAGGGTTTTCTAATGGCATTTAGCTGCCCATTTTGAAGTGACTTAACCTCCTGATTTTAAATGACAGCTTTGAGAATCTCAGCCCACAGGTCAGTGCAGGCAGGGCAACTGCAGCTGGAGAGGGCAGAGCTCACTTTTGAGTTTAACTAGAGGCTGATTGATGAGGTTGGTCAGTAAGTAGCTTAGGGGCAAAGACAGGAGAAGCACCCATGTACCATGGCTGCCAATGCTGTTATCTATAGTCATGCTTTCTCTGGGGAACTCCAGTAACTCTGTAAGTTACTCCTAGAGATCTGGAGATGCCAGACCTAGAGTACTTCAAGCAAGGACTGATCACATGTCCACCTTGCCTGTAAAGCTTTGTTTTCTTTTAATGTTCTAATGGCTGTCCAAATCATACTCCTCCCTTACACAGATTACAAAAACAACATCCTGAAGGAGAAGGCTGAGCAAGCCAGAAGCTTCCCAGCAAAGAACATTGATTTAGACAAAGGTAATAATGACTTGCTTCACCCTAATTGGTGGCTGTAAGAACCTTCTGATGGGTTGAAGGAGGGAGGAGGGAAGAACACAGTTCTGAGCTAACCAAGCCACAGCTGAATGAGGAATGATAAACATCATGACAACTGACAGCAGGAATAAGAAGCTAGTTCCCTTCCTATCCTTTCATCATGGAGCCACAAGATGCAAGCAGTGATTAGGCTTTTAAAAACTTTTGGCATGGCACAAGTAGAATTTTTCTTTATTGGAAAAAGAATGCCTTGCAGGGCTGGAATAGTGCATTCTGTACTGTAACCTCAGAGGGAGATGTATCTCAAAAATGTCCTGGCATGGTGTTTGAGAAGAAAACACTGTGCAAAATAGAGTATTTAGAATTGAATTAATTTATGGGTAATGGGCAGTCACTTACTTCATCCAACTAAAGCAAACAACTCTCCCTCCCTAGGGGCTGAATCTCCTTTTGCTTATCCAGTATTAATCCTGAGTATTACACTTCAGTTTGTAGAGTCACACTTATGTCAGGCAGTGCTTGTGAAAAGTTGTTAGGTTTTGTGACTCCTTTCCGATGAATTTAGAATATAATAAATGTGACTGAAAGGAAATCAAGAAGGGAATGGTCTGGAGACTCTGAGTTGCCTTAGACCTGCTATTCTTGATGGAGTTCTCATGGTATTTTTGCTTACATTCAGCAGAGGTGATCTGTGCAATAATTTATACACAGTGTATCTCACTGTGGGCTTTGTGAAGAGGGTATTGGGGAAGTGGTTGACTGAAAACGGTCACTTGTCACTGTATAGCTAAGTCCATATTACAGCATGCTGCTCTGGGTGGTTTGAAATCTTGCTTCAGGTACTGACCTCTGTTTCAATTTGCTTTCAGATTTCAGGAAGGAATATTGTAAATGAAGACACTCCCAAGCTGCTGGCTGGACCAGAAGCTTCAATCAAAGATAGATAAATGGAAGAGATGCCTTTTCTTAATATCATGTTCCTCCAGTTACCATAGATTTTGTCACATAGACTTTGTCCCCAGTGAGCACAAGGGTATTTGCAAATGCTTCTTGAAAGAGTTAGACCGACTGTCCTGTGTGTACTTTTGGTGGGTTTGGGTTGCCTTTTCTTCTTCTGTCTCCCAATCCTTCATTTCCCTTTTCTTTCTTGATATTATTGTTGGGTTTATGCATCAATGAATTTTATGAGCTGAATCAGCAGACCTTTTGCTTTGATGTTACTGCCTTAAATAAACCAACCTGCATCACTAATCTTGAGCCATCATTATATCAGGCATTTTCCCATGTACTGTATTCATCAGAAAAATAATAGCAAAGCCTGATTGTGATCTCTCATTGGCTGGCATAAGTCAGTGTCACATAGCACTTTACATATTCCAGGTGAAGTAGAAAGAGTACACCCCTTCACAAATGACAATGTAAATACCTCATTTTATGAGTGGGGAAATGTCAATATGCTCATTTTACAGGGGAAAGGGAGGCACACAAATGCCCAAGGGCAGGGTTGGGATCAGGTCCAATGAGCTCTGGAAGTCTAACGTTGTATTTCTCACTCTAAGCTTGTTTGTTGATTGTTTTGTTTGTTTGTTTCAGTGCAGACCAAATCATATTTGGCATGAAAAGACACTTTCAGCTGAAGTTGATGGAGTTACAGTGCTGTAATACCAGTCTCAGTTAGAGCAGAACCAGAAATATTATGGAGAGGGCTAAACTCCTGTGTGGAATCTGGAATGTGTTTTTCCTGCAGTCCTTGGGTGGATCCAGGCCACACAGAACTTGTGTGTGCATCAAAACGAAGGTATGATTACAGCACAGGTAGACAGATTGTTAAAAGGAATAGTTTCTCATGAGCAGCCTATGAGGAACAAGAGTAACAACATATTCAACTAAATAGCCTGTCAGGAATTTTCATGGGCCAGAGTCTCGGAAGGGAGAAAAAGAGGGAGATAAGCCTATTCTTGTGCATTTCGGCATCGTTTTGGGGAGCAGATACCTGAGATAGTGGGGCTGTGGGCTGAAGGGGAGTTGTACATATGAATGGTGTGTCAGGTGGGAATGTAAAAAAATTGGAAGTCAGTAATTCAGTGTTGTAATCCAAGTAAATTAAAGCATCAGGAAAGCTGGAGAATGTTAACAGTTCTACACAGCTCCTGACTACTTGGGCTATTCTGTGGCACTATTCCCAAACTAGGCACACCTGTGGACCTTCTGGCACAGAAAAGGTCTTTCCTACTGTTGTGAGCGTGACAACAGTGGCTTGTGTTCTTGTTGAGTGAGGGTGAAGGTGGCCAAGGATTGCCAGCTTACTCACTGGTGATCTGAAGAGAATAGCAGAGGGAGGGATTGCGCATGGGCTTGGTGACCAAATGGAAGTGGGATAGGTTCTCCAGGATGTTGCAGGTGGTGGATGTGTGAAGAAGAGCTTGTGTGGAACTACTGTGAGGGTGAGAGAGGATGTGAGGGTGGTGTGGTTTCAGTCTTGAAGTAGCGCTCTGCTTACAACTGGTATCTCAGTGTGGATTTCTTCCTGCGGCTGGAGAATCCTGAGGTCTCTTCAGGTGGTGAAGTAGCTGTGGTCCAAGGAAAGCATCTCAGTCTACCAGCTAAACAATTGGGAATGTGACCTGCTGCCTGGTATGGTATATGTCTTGGCTGTTGTTTTGGACACCCTCGCCACTTATCCAGGAACATGTCAGTGCTGTCTAATAGGGGCACAAGCTTGGTCAGTCTGGAAAGAGATGTTGTTGTGGCTGGGTGAAGCTGCCCACTGCAGGAGCACACGTACTGTGAAGGTCCAGTGCTGTTTTGGGAACTATCCAATGCTATGGGCTTCCCTCCTGTAGGAATCAAGGTCACGTCCTATACCTGCCCCTTTCTTTCCACCCCTACCAACTTGGGTGTCTTGTCTGACTGATGCCAATATTCTTTGATGTCTCAATCCCATTTCAGACCCCCTCTCCCTCCTTTCACAAACACCACTGACCTCTGCTGTTGTGTGACAGCACTCAGTAACACTCTCAGAGGTATATTACACTGGGTGTGATGGTTGCTGAGTTGCAGCTACTTACACTGAAGCTGAGCTCAGCTCCATAGTTCTGCCAAAAGTGTGGTGGGTGAGGCCTCCTGTGTCCCAGAAGGAGCTGTATTGTTTATTCAGAAGCTAGGATGTCAGCACTTCAGTGCACATTTTTTATAGGAGTGGAAAGCGGACCCTGTCAATTTTTATAGATATTAATACTTCTCATTGTTAATGATGACCATGTTAAAGTATAAATACATTTGGGACCCTTATTTTTAATGCCTTCAAATATTAAAAATACTAATAATAGAATATAACAGCAGAGGTGGAGGCGAGCCTTCCCAAGCTGCAGCTGGGCAGTTCCTTATCTTTTAGTTTGCTTAGCGTTTCCACTGCTCTCTAGACAGTTTTTGTGCCTGTGATTAACTGCTTTTATCTTCACTTAAGATTCACCCCTACAAAAGTGCTCAGATTGGGCAGAGCCATGACTCGTGGAGCGGAGGGTCTGGGCTTGGGCCCAGGTCCCTGTTTGCCTGCCTTTCCCCCAGAGTAGGCTGCCTTTGGCTGGACCTGATTGAAACTCAAGCTGCATTCCTGCAGGTGTGCAAGGCTGCACTGGTTATTCCATCAGGGTGGCACAGCATCAAGTAATTGTCATTAATGTCTTTCTCCCTCCCTTTCATGTCTGAGTCAAAGGTTGGAGATCTTTACTTGCCAGTTCAAATGGCTTAGCACAGCTCATATAGACACCAGCTCAAAGTGGGGTTACTCATAAACTCCAGAGGCATTTCAATATTTTATTTGACTTCTAGGCTGCAAAATAGCTTAAGGGAAAAAAATTAATACGTTCTCTAAAACAGGCACTAGGAAGAGCTTTATGAGTTCCTCATCCTTGCTTTGATCGCTAATTTGAATTTGGATAATGGTCAGACATGCCACTACAACTACACTGATCAAGATGGGAGTCTAAAATAAGATTATGGCCCTTTTTTTTCAGGAGAGGCATATGTTGTGTGATTGGACTGATTATCGGAACAGTGGCTTTCAAAAGCAGCTTGCATCCAGTGTGTAATTTAGTACGTTAAAATACTGGAAGAAAGAAATCCAGACAAGACTACTGCATAACCAGTTGTATTTTCAAATTGTTGAAAAAAGAGAGAAAGAAAACTGAATGCTAAACTGAAGAGTTTTGCTTGTTTATTTCTTAATACAGAGGAATTATCAAAGGCTATTTGCCCTTAAATACTGTTGAGAAGCCATTTAGGTTCTTTACATATGCATTTTGTACTCTGTCAGTCTTTGGCATTGGCATGAAGTCTATGTAGCTGATGTTGCACATGAAAATTAGAAGGTTCAACTTGCAATTAACCACGTGGCTGGGGCAGGACCACTGTCTTCTGTTGCCACTCTGCCGTGGACTCAGTGCAATTCTAGACAGGTTGATTTTCTCTCTTTTTCTCATCTCAGCCTTTCTTTCACTAAGATGTGACAGTAACTTGCCTCTCACGGAGAAACAAATTTTTAATGTGTGTAGCACTTTGGTAAATGTGCTTTGCCCGAGTTACTCAAAGTTCTCATTATACTAATAGAACGCTGCATCTTGATAGATTTCTTTAGCTGTCACTTTCCAGGCTCTTGGCAGGCTTTGCTTCATAGTCATCTTGGTTTCCTGAGACAGGCATTTGATATTCAGTTAGTTAAAATAATAATAATTACTAATATTTTTATATAGCAATAACTCTAGCTCAATGAGGGCAGAGAAATTAAAGTCGCTTTTAGGGTGATTTATGGACTGTAAGCCCTTGTTGTGGAACAAGGAAAGGGTGCATGGCAGTGACCTTAAAAGAGGTTAAAACTGAGACTAGAACTAGAGCCCCCTCTTTTCAGCTCTGTGCACACTCTGCTTCCTCTCCAGACTGAGAGGAGGATTTGTTCCATAAAGCTTGTTTTTTTCTTTGTTGTTACAGAATTTTCATTATTATCATTGTTACTTAACTTTTACCATTTATCATTGTTGTGTAACTCTCCTAACATTTAAGAAATAAAGGAGAATATAATGGAGTTTCAAGTTAAGGTTGATTTTATTTCCTGTTCTTTGGAGATGCTATTTAAGCTATTAGCCAGCATTAGCTAATTCTTCCCAATAACTGTGCAGTGTGTTTCTTCTCTGAGCATCCTAAAGTGCTTGAAAAAGTGCAGATTGGATGCAATAAGTTATTCCAGTGATTTCAATATGGTTTCCACATGGGACATCATCATTTGACTTGGTCATGGGGCCCACAGACAGATTTTAGCTCTCCAAAAGTGTTGTATAATGAACAGATCTGCAGCTGTAGATGGAGTTCAAACCATCTATGAGAGATGAAGGCTGGCAGCTCCTTCATAGTACATAATTGTGCAGGTTCAGAGGGGAAGATAACATATCCTGCTGGAATATTTAACTGCACAGTTTTATACTTCACTCCCAGCCTAAATTCCTATTTTCCTTGCAGAACTAACACCTTACAAAGTTCCTGCTGCGCATTCTGCTCTTGGAGGGCTTCCACCCACTGAGTAGTATCCCAGCTGGCATGACAGAGTTCTTCCAGGGACACTGATGGAAACAGCTTGTATTGCTCCTTGGATGGACAGTGCAGGTGCAAGAATTTGAAGGATCAAAGCAGGATATGAAACTAAAAAGTGGCAAAGTAGTACATTTAGCAAACTAAGATTATTGACCCTCTTGTCTAGCTCTGGTGAAACTATTATCTTCTCTCTTACCTGGTTGGAAATTATACTACAGCCAGTCTCCTGCCATTTCATACCACTTCTTCACCAGGGTGAATAGCCCTGTGATGACTGCTTCTGCTTTCTCAAATAACCAGAGGGAAAAAAACAAAACAAAACAAACAAACAAAAAAACCCTACCAAACCCCAAAAAACAGGTTAAAAGGGTTGGGAGTTGAAGATAGCAGGAAGTGGATGGGGAGTAGTTCCTTCTCATTGGGCTCTGCTGTTGCTGAGAATGAATGAGGAGTTCTTGCCACGTACAATAAAGATGTTGTCCAAAGTACCCTTTCTGGTACTGTTATGGGACTTTACTGATCAGCCATTGCTATAACCTGTAAGTGAGATTCTTCATGGTGAGGAGAAGCCAAACAAGAACTACTGAAAAAGATATACTTTGGGCAAAGTGAGATCATCCTGGAGCTGATGCCAGTCCTACTGGGAACATCTGAGTCAACAGCATTTT